CATGCGCTGGTGTGAACACTTACCTACCTACATTTGAAATTCAATGGTTCCAAGTTCTTCAGGCCACACTCATGGAACTCCAAAGAATGGAGATCTGGAGAGAAGATCTCAAGTTGAAGAACCTTTCTCCCTAAATTTTATGGTTACTGTTTTAAACATTGGTACAGACTAAATTATAGGTCTAGAGAAGTATATGGAGAATTCTAATAATTCAACTGAAATTATGTTGCTCTATTACTAAAAGTAATACACTCCTTAAGATTCTCATTTATCTCACTCCTAAGAAAAGGCCCTTTCATACAATGTTACCAGGATATTGATTAATAGGACTTGCTGATGAAATTATGACAAAGACAGACACACAACTGAAAACCGTTTTAACATCAGTGTGAATATTTATAATATGTACACTATTTGTGTATATAGAATAGTTCCTATATATAAAGAGGTTTGCATAAAAAACCCTGTTAGTTATATAAAGCTGAAAATATGAAAACCATGTAATTAAAAGTCTTGATGAGAATTTAAAACACAAATTGACTTCAAACCATTTGGGCTTAACACAGAATGAAGAAAATTGCCCTTGACTAATAGCATATTTACATTTCAAGAAAATGATTTGAAAAATAGAAATTATACAACAGTGATTTAGCTCTGAAAAGAAAACAGACTTACACGCCACCACTAAGGTGAGGAGCTCTGATGGCCTAGGTAAGGAGTTACGCTGCCAACTCAAAGGCACATGGTTTGAATCTGCCAGCTACTCCACAGGAGAAAGATGAGCAATCTCCTCTTGTGTCATTAATTGTCTCTGGAAACCCACTAGAGGGTCAGCAATGGGTCAGTTCTAACTGGAATGTTCAAACCCATATACAGAGTTAAGTGCCTGTACAAGCATTGACCTTCCTTTTCAATTTATTAGTATGGATTTATTGATTGACTAGGAAAATGAGAAACATTTATTCTAAACCTAGCATAAGGAATAGGAGATATTTAGGTGCCTTTAAAACGAACTTCAAATTAATTATTTTACGGTCCACTTTAAGCAAAACGTGCATATTAGGAGCACTGCCCCAGATTACTCTTTTAATATAAGCCCCAGGTGATAAGTCCCAAATGACATGGAGCAATTTCCATACCACACGAGTAGCATTCCCTAAATAGCATAGATTGCTACTCTAAATGACAGACCAGTTTCCTCACATCCATACGGCAAATATGAAGGAAATACTGTAAGAATATCCCACAGATATTTTTTGAATCACCAAGAAAGAAAAATAAGTATTTCACTAACAAGGAATTAAGAAAGCAAAATCAAATGGCTACTTTGTAGAAACCATGTATATGCTTATATATATGTTTATATTTAAGCATAAGACAAGGCCAGAAAATTGTAAGGTTCTATATTTTAGTGACTTTAGAAAGAAATTAATTTTTCCTTTCCTGATGACATGTTAATGCTTCTTTCTTATGCACAGTTTTTATAAAACAACTAACTTTAATCTTTGCTTTACTGATTTTCACTGTCTACAACTTTATTACAATTATAACAAACTTTTTTATTTTATGTCTGTGGTATAGCTTAATAAAAATACAAACTTGCAAATACAGAGTTTCAAAGAGGTATTTATGAATAGAGTGACTTATAATAATTTCAGTGGGCACCAATATACGTACAAATTAGGTTTTAAGTTATTTTAGTCCCTAGTGATTTGCTTTAGACTTTAGACTTTCCCTGTTTTCATTAAAAATGGAAATTAACTCTCAAGGATGCAGATGATGTTTGTGAATCATCTATGGTAAATTTTTTATCATAAATTTGGCACCCATGGCACCTCTGCTGCTGCTAATATATGCAGCAGAGAATATCAAGTAATGCATTGGCCAAGAGTTTGTAGGGTTTCTAACTTTATTAACAAAATATATTCTAACAGCATATTTTTCTTCCAAGTATTGATTTGTCAATAAAAGTTCTAGACAAAGCTAAGTATTAAAAAAAAAAAGAAACATTTTTAAAAATCCTAAGATGTGATAAAATGCTATAACATTTAAAAACAGGTGGATAAACGAACAGAATTTTCAGTTTTCTGCACAATGTTTTGGATAAGCAAGCCTAGGGGAATATAGGCTTAAGAATTCTGAGATAAAAAATATGTTTGTGTGTGTGTGTGTATACACACACACACACACACATATACACACACACACTCTAAAAAGTTGTTTACAGAGCATCTAAAATGCTAAAATGTTAAGGTTTCAACTAGTTGAAGAAAATACAGGATGCTCAGCACAATCTCTCAAATGCAAATAACATTTTTCCCTATCTGCATTGTCAAATACCCAGATTATTTTGAAAAGTAAGAGAATTGAAGAGTACTTTTTATCCACATGGAAAACAGGTATGTTTTTTCCATAAATTATAAATACAAAATGACTATTCTATAGGAAATCACTAAAGGAAAACTTCAGAAATGTACCACTGTAATCCAAACCATGCAGTGCTCTCCTGCTCCATTCACACAACAGCCTCCTGGTCCAGGTATAGGTTCCTCGTGAGCACAATCAAGTGCTCTGGGCCTCCCATTCTTCTCAATGTCTGCCACAATTTGTTATGATCCACACAGTCAAACACCTTTGCATAGTCAATAAAACACAAATAGACATTCTTCAGGTATTCTTTACTTTCAGCCAGGATCCATCTGACATCAGCAATGATATAACTGATGCCACCGCCTCTTCTAAATCCCACTTGAACCTCTGATAATTCCCTATCTATGTACTGTTCCAGCTGGTTTTTGAGTGATCTTCAGCAGTATTTTGCTTGCACGTGGTATCAATGATACTGTAAGATAATTTCCACATTCAGTCGGATCACCCTTCTTGGGAATGGGATCAAATATAGACCTCTTCCAATCTGTTGGCCAGATAGCCATCCTCCAAATTTACTGGCACAGACAGGTGAGTGCATCCAATGTTACATCTGTTAATTGAAACAAGCCAATTGGCAGCCCAACGATTCCTGGGGCTTTATTTTTTGCCAATACCTTCAATGCAACCTCCACTTTCTCTTTCATTACCATTGGCTCCTGTTCATATGGTACTTCCTAAAATTTTTTATTGTCAATCAATTTTGGTACAGTGACTCTGTGTATTTCCTTCTATTTTCTTTTGATGTTTTCTGGATCATTCAATATATTTTCATAGCATCTTTCAACATGGTGATATGAGGCTGGTTTGTTGATTCTTTTGGTAATCTACAGTATATTCAGTACTCTTCACCAATACCGTAATTCAAAGTCATTGATTCTTCTTCTGTCATCCTTATTTATTTTCCAACTTTCAGGTGCATAGGAAGCAAACTAATAACCATGGCATGGATCTGTCACACTTTAGTCTTTAAATGGACCATCACTGCTCTTAAGAATTTTGGAAATATCATATCTTTTTAATTTCTTGACTGCTGCCACCATGGGTATTGATTGTGGATCCAAGTAAAATAAAACTGCTGACAATTTCAATCTTTTCTCCATCTACATGATGCCTGTTGGTGCAGGGTGAGAATTTTTGTCTTCTTGATGCTGATACTTAATAGACATTGTAGTCCTTGATTTTCTACAGTAAGTGCTTTAAGTTTTCCTCACTTTGAACAAGGATGGTTGTGTCAATGGCATAATGCCAAGTTGTTGGTGAATCTTCCTCCAATTATGATGCAACATTCTTTATACAGTCCAGCTTCTCAAATGATTTGCTCAGCATACAGATTGGATAGGTATGGAGAAAGCTTCTACAGTATATTATGTTAGCTTATTTACTGGGTTAAAAAATCAAATGTAATCCAACACTTAAAAATCTTAAGATAGTACATTAAAAGCTGTATTTTGAAGTCTTATTTCTCCTGCCACAAGACAGCCAGTACCTGGCTAAACACTTACATAGAAATTATTGGCTAAGAAGAACAATGACTCTTTCTTTTCAAGGAGATATGGAATCTTCAATTTGCCACAGTTCCCACAACTATGGTGTTACTAATACCATGACCAAATGTCAGTATCATTAATGTTTAACCTTTTCCTTTTTTATGTATTTGCAATACTATTTCATTATTATTATTAGAAACCACAACTGCCAAATATTTAAAATGTTAAAAATTTGGTGAGAAGTTCCTGTTTGCAGAATACATAAAAACAAAACATAGTATTACAAGTTCAAAAGTCAAATAAAATGTCTGTCATAAGACTACAAATTAAGTTGTCCTTCTGAAACAACTCATAGAAGATGCTATTAGATATATACAAAAATTGAGATTCTGACCCATGACTAATTAACAAAAGATACTAAATAAGTGAATAATATACTAATAAATGTACAAAGAAAGGTTTAATTTTTTTTTAATCTTAATTAGTAACCATAGTGGCCATCTAATATTATTTGACCTATCAATGGTTGCTAGATATTAAGAATGCGCTCAAGTAAAAGAAAAGCTTCTTTACAAGTATTGATTATATTATATTTAGAAAATCTTATGTCTACGACTACTCTGAATTCTGTTCCCCCCCACTATAGGGCAGGTTTTAAAGTAAATGTGTGGGCTTTTTCTCCCAAGAAGTAAATGTAATATCTAGATAAAATAATTTTACTTTCATAGACACTGTATGTGCTTAAAAGGTAATCCTTGAATTAATGTAATCAACATGAAGCTATTTTGATGTTATCTGGGAAAAAATGTTGATAGCAAAGTTTAAATCATACTGTAGTTGCTGTGTTTCTACCCTCTGGGAGGAGGGAAATAGTAATTAACATAGGGAAGCCATTCAAAACCTAGTCTCATTTCATAAATTAATTTTGTATTTTTTTAAAACATTATCGTTTATATTAGATAATGATCAATTTTTATATGCCACTTATGGATTTTGTACAGATAATTTTTTCTAAATAGTTTTCTTTTTTACTATAAATAAAGATGATTTTAAAGATAAAAGCAAGTTTTCAGTTTTGTTTACCATTCTCATTGCTATAGTTCATCAGCATGCCACAAAAGACAGTCAAGAGCTTCTCATTGGCGGGGTCTGTTCTACTGCACAATGACCTTAAATGGTCAACTACAATCTGTGCACCACCTGCTTGGTCAACTGCACTTCTGCCCTCATCTGTAAAACAAAGAGTTAAATTAAAAATAAAAGAAAAAAGAAATGTATTTTATAATTTCAAATACAAAACCCAACAGTGTTATTTCTTAATTAAAAAGTAAGCAGAAAACAAACCTAAGTAGGAAATCAACTACATCTTTTTTGAACAAAAAACCAAAATTAAACAAATAAACATGGAAATGTGAGTGGGATGGGAAAGAGACAATCAAAGACTATTCTCATTGGCATCATATAGAAAGAAGATGAAGGAATTTCTGTGTGTCCTACCAGTGTATAATAGGCAAAATTTTGCTCCTTTCTGGTTCACAAATAAAAACTCTATGTAAGAAGGGAAAAAGTCCTAAAAACCAAACAAACGAACAAACCAGGAACTAAGTGATTTCTACCACTGTAATTATTTTCCTCACCTTAAAAACTACAAACTACATCTTTCTATCACTAGCTTTCAAAACCAATTATTATCAAAAAACACATAGGACACAAATAATTTCAGCTCAACATATGTAATTCCTAAATATGAGTATTAGTCTTCTTAGTAGTATGTTTCATACTCTATAAGCATATTTTCTTCTTTATCTTTAGATGGTTCATTTTTTTCCTTTATTTGTTATAATTTCTTATTCCCTACATATGGCTTTCCCCCCCTTATTTATGGTCCTGTATTATAAAACAAACCAATATACTTCACTATTATGACCAATGGCCAATTTACAGGCAATATTTCTTGCATATGTGCACATCTAAATTAAAAAGAACAGACGTCATTTAAGTGTTTAGAATGGACTAGCTATAGTTTTTCAAACCCTTGGACATAGGAAGGGAAAGTAAAGATGAATTTCTTTCTAAATCTGATATTGTTAATGTCAAATATGACATAGATTCTAAAACAATGCTATCTAGTAGAAACTTATCTACATGTTATCTAAAATATCTCAATAGCCATACTGAGAAATTAAAGAGAAACCAGTGAAAAAATTCTCGTTTTTCAATCCAAATAATCTAAAATAAAATTATTTCAACACGTAATGAATACAAAAACTACTAAGAAAAAATTTTACTTCTTTTTCGTGTACTAAATCTTGGAAATCCAGTGCATTTTAAACTTGGGTAAGAGCGAATTTACATATCAACTGAAAATGTCCATATCTCTACACATTTAACAGCCAATTGGGCCTAGTGTGTTGCACAACAAAAAGATATGACTCACAAAAGCAATATAGCTATGAAACAGGAAGGGAAATGAAAAAAAAATGTAATTTTACCAATTAAAGGACTAAAACTAAGGTTTTAACTTTACAAATATTGCTGGATAATACTGTTGTCAATGTGGCTATATACTGTCAAATTGGAATCAATTCTTGTTGGTTTTCAGAGACAGAAAACTGCACCAGATAAAGAGTGCCTATCTTTCTTCCATGTTGTAGCTGGTGGATTTGAACTATATACCTTTTCATTGGGATAGCAATGCCTAACCATTAAGCAAACTGAGCTCTGTGGAACATATTAGACATTGCAGCTTAATATTATTCGTTATGGTTCATATAAAGCTAAGCTTCAGGAACATTAAGGAGTTCTGTGGCACACTGCATTCATTTTGTGCTGGGCTGCTAAATGAAAGGTTAGTATCCACCAGCTGCCCTACTGCAGGAAGATGAGCACAGCTGGCTCCCATTATATGATTCATACCTTCTGGAACCTGATGGAAGGTCAGTATAAGATTTGATGGGTAGAAGCTGCCCTGAAATCCCAAAGGCACATGGTTTGAATCCACCAGTTGATATGTGGGATCAGATGGGCAATCTCCTTCCACGCAATTTATTGCCTCTGAAAATCTACTGGAGTGTCAGCTTTGGGTCAGTTCTGACTCGATGGTACTCAACAACAACAATAACGATATTAGTTTAAAAAATCTGAAGACTGTTTAAGATGATCCGTGATAAAAATAGAACAACAAAGATTTCAGAGTTCAGAGGAATGTCCTAGGATAACCAGTTACTGATAAAAATGTAGAAATGATAAAACTGTAGAAAATTCCTATATGCTCAGGATAGTCAGCCAAAAATATTAACCAAATCTCATTAAAAATTAGTATCCTTATTTTATAATTATAAAAATGACTGGGTATTTTGTGTGTGGATAACATTACAAAACCTGATTTTGGGGGTTAAAAATACAAACTTTATGACTTTCAAAAATAATTTAAGTACAAATGGTATTTGACTTTGGTAACTAAATAAATATGACTTTTAAAATACGTGTTAGGTATGCTTAGGACCTATGAAAAATCTTGAAGATCAGTGAGACCAAGCCAAAATGTCATATGCTAGGAAAGTCAGGCTTACGGGGAGCACATTTGCAGCCAATTTTAAATGCTAGACTGACTTCCTATTAGTACTCATTTATTTAATCTTCCAAAATTGAATAGTTTAACACATTTCATTTGAAAATTTGTTTAATGAATTTAATAATTTAATTATTAAGAACATGAATAAAATTACAAGGCAAATTAACTATTTGTGTTCCAGAACCACAAATGTTTTAATGTTATTAGTCTCTTCTTTCAGTCCCTTTCTTGTGTTTGGATTGTGTATGATACAGCTCTTATATGTCAGCAAGGGTAGAACATAAACACAATCCTTATACTAGAAACTATACAATACCTCAAAATTTGAGAAGAAAAGCAAAGCAGCACACTATGCAGTAAATCTTAGTTGAAAAAGATATCAATGTAATTACAGGAATGTATATGTAACGTTAATGTTTATGCCTATTCATTTTACAAACCAGCCAGGGAAATGAGTAACAACATTTCAATAAAATGTTTAAAAGAATGTGAAAACATAAAGGACTAAATTTCTTTTTTACTTTAACCAAAATCATGGACAGAATGCATCTTTGAAAGGATTTTACACAATTTTAAGTATATAGTATATAAATGCACAAATCATTAGGAATTATTTTTCCATAATCAAAGCTTGTTATTGTTTTTATTGTTAGATACCATCAAGTTGAGTACAACTCATAGCAATCATATGAACAAAAGATCTGAGCCTCGTCCTATCCTGTGCCATCCTCACAATCTCTGAAACACTAAGCCCATAACTGCAGTCACTGTGTCAATCCATCTGGCTAAAGGTCTTTTTCTCTTTCGTTATTGCTCCACCTTCCCAAGCATGTTGTCTCAAATGAATAGCCTCTGCCAGCAACATGCCCAAAGTATGTGAGACAAAGCTTTATCATCTTTGCCTCCAAGGAGCACTCTAGCTGCACCTTTTCCAAGATACTCAGTGCTTTACTCCAACAACACAGTTAAAAGGCATCAATTATTTTTCTGTATCCCTTTTTCATTGGAAAGTTCTCAGATGCCTAACAAAAGATTGAAAAAATCATGACCTGAATTAGGTAATCAAAGTAACGCTACAAATTTATCTTAGGATATTTTCATTGCTGTTGGCTAAAACTTAATTTTCAAATAAAAATTGAAGTTCTGATGATCTAGTGAGTAAGAAGTTGTGTTGTCAATTCAAAGGTAGGAGGTTCAAGTCCATTAGTTGCTCTGTGGGAATAAAATGGACAATTTCTCTTCTACAATTTGCAGCTTATGAAAATCCACTGGACGGTCAGCCATGAATCAGTTCTGACCCCACAGTAATGATACTATAATAAACAGGTAACTTGTGAACTTCCAAAGTTTTGTTTTTTGAGGTTTTTTTTAGTTTTTTAATTCTTGAAAGGGAATGTCTTTTTCTTAATTGTGAGGTAGTTAATTGTACTAGAATGTTGAAAAGCCCACAACAAAAGGAAGAGATGCCAAAGGAAGAGTAGAAAAGATTTCAAAGGTAGCTTGAGAAGACAGAATATTAAAATGGAATGTGTAAAAATCTGGAATTAGAAGGAAAAAATAGAAGAAATCTCCTTGTATACCTCAAGCTGAAAGAACGGGAAAACTAATTCAAGCCTTGAATAATACCAAACAATGTTATGGGCAAAATCAAGAATGATCCAGGAAGCATCAAAAGAAGATGGAAGAAATACACAGAGTCACTGTACACACGCGTGCGCGCACACACACACACACACATATACACCCAACAAAAAATCCCAACTGGCTCATATGGAATCATTTCAAGAAAAAGTATATGATCAAGAATCAATGATAAAAGAAGTTCAAGCTGCATTGAAGGCACTCCAAAAAAATAGAAGGTCCCAGAAATTATTTGGATACTAATTCACATGTTTCAACAGACAGTTGAAACAATGAATATAATCTGTGAATATGAATATACTCACAATGAATATAATCTGTGTCATCCAGGAAAGCTGGAGGACAGATACCTGGTCAAATGACTGGGAAGAGATCCATATTTGTTTCCACTCCCAAGAAAGGTGAATAAGCAGAACAAGAAAAATGTCAATATTATTACTATCACATGCAAATAAAATCTTGCTGAAGATTATCCAAAAATGGCAAGTACACCAACAGAGAACTGCCAACAGTTACAGCTGGATTTAGAAGAGGCTACAGCACCAGGGATAGACCTGATGTTAGGTGGCTCTTGGCTTAAAGCAAAGTATATGAGAAAAATGTGTGTTTGTGTTTTATTGACTATGCAAAGATATTTGATTGTGTGGATCAGAACAAATTATTCTTCTTGAAAAGAATGGGAATTCTAGAATACTTAATTGTGCTCATACAAACATCTGTACCTAGACTAAGAAGCTGTTGTCCAAACAAAGCAAGAAACACTTTAGGGTTTAAAAGTGAAAAAAGGTATGTGTCAGGACTCCACCCTTTACTGAGTAATTAATTTGAAAAATTAAATTTTATGAAAAGAATGTGGCATCAGGATTGGAAAGACTCATCAACACCTGTGCTATGCTTACGACACACTTTTGCTCACTGAAAATGAGGACCTGACACACTTGCTGCAGAAGATCAAAGACTACAGCCTTCAATATGGATGACATCTCAACATCAAGGAAGGAAAACTCCTCACTAG